TGGACGATCAAAAGACTCAACTCTCTCTCCTTGTCTCTCCTGTCTGTGTGTCTGCCTGTGTGTACCTCCCTCCCAGATTCCCGAAGCCCAGACAGCTCCTCCCCAAATCCCCTTTCCCAGGGCATCCCTCCCCCTTCTCCTCCCGGCCCACCTCTTACCCCTTCAGCACCTCCACCTCCAATGCCACCCCCTCCGCTGGGCTCCCCCTTCCCGGTCATCAGCTCTTCCATGGGGTCCCCCGGTCTGCCCCCTCCGGCTCCCCCAGGATTCTCCGGGCCTGTCAGCAGCCCTCAGGTGAGAGAGAGGTTGTGACCTGCTTATTGCCTCTCTGCTTTCATTTCCTGGTTTCCACCATCTTTTGGTGAACTTCCCCGTGACCCCTTGGCCTTTCTGGTTCTCCAATCCTAGCAGGCCTTGTGGTCCCAGACCCTTGGCTCTTCCTGAAGTAAACGCCTTGTTTTGGCACATGCTTCTTTCTAGCCCTGTTTTGAAAACAAACAGAAACCCTAAGCCCACAGGGACTATCTGTGATGTCCTTTTCAGCTCACAGTGACTCTCTGCCCTTTTGACTCTCTATATGCCCTTCAGGGCCGCGGTGTTGCACAGTTGCTGATGGATATCCCTTCTTGGGCTTATACTTCCTGGAAGGCCCTTGACATTAGACCACAGTGTGGCTAGTGCCCTCTGGAATGGGTAGTCGTGCAGGGCCTGCTTAGAGGCAAGGCATGGTTCCCCTGACACCTGAGAGCGTCCTCCTCCGAATGAGCCTCCTGTGACTTCTGTGATTTCCCTGTTTTCCCATCCCAGATCAACTCCACAGTGTCGCTCCCTGGGGGTGGGTCTGGCCCCCCTGAAGATGTGAAGCCACCGGTCCTAGGGGTCCGGGGCCTGCACTGTCCTCCCCCTCCCGGTGGCCCCGGGACTGGCAAACGGCTGTGTGCAATCTGCGGGGACCGAAGCTCAGGTACGGGCTCAGCACAGGTGCAGAGGAAAGAGTGTGTGCCGTTGACCACGCCCATGGGCTCCCGAGGCTTCCCGAGGTTGCTCAGAGCAAGGAGGCCTGTGGGACCTTAGATTCGTATGGAGTGGGGTAGGGGCGGTCAGGGAAAGGGGCTGGTACAGGGGCTCTGGTTGCTGAGGAGTAGACTGATGTTCTATATTCGGGGAGATTTAGACTTTGTTCCCTGTGTGCTGATTGTTAAGGGACTCAGTAACGGGCAGGTGTTCCTCCTGAGGCTCTCTTCCTGCCACGCTTCTCCCCCTGTAGGCAAGCACTATGGAGTTTACAGCTGTGAGGGGTGCAAGGGGTTCTTCAAACGCACCATTCGGAAGGACCTGACCTACTCGTGCCGCGATAACAAAGACTGCACAGTGGACAAGCGCCA